ACAAGTGGGATTCAAAATTATAACTTTCTTTTTTTTTAGCTAAAGTAAATCATTAAAATTAATTCAGTTCTGGATATTTCAATTGTAGAATCTTTTTAAATACTAAAAATTACTTAGAAATGATTACTATGATTTCTATTTAGGTGTTCTATTACGATAAAAATACAAAAAAACAATGAGTTTTTCTGATAAATATACTGTAAATAGTAATTATAAAATTTCCTGACTGCATATTAGTCTTAAAAATAGCATAGTTTTAATTCTCATAAAATTGTCTATTTAATGATCCATTCTAGTCAATGAAGGATTAATTTTGGAGAATAGCAGAAAAAATTCTCAACCAATTTTTTTTTCTTTGTTTTAATTAGGCAATTGGTGGATTATTCTAAAAGCAACATCAACTCTTATTTCTTTAATTATATCCTGATTAGTAGTTCTTTGATTTTAAAATATAATATATGAATAAATACTAATTATAATTATTAAATTTAGTATGAAATTGATATTCAATAATTTAATATTGTAATTTAAACGGAGAAATTATAAAAATAATAAAGAAGTTGTATTTTGCTTTATTTTTACGTGTATAAAAATTTAAAGGGCTTAATACAATAATTTTCAATAAAAACTGTTTGTTACTATAAATGAATGCACTGTACTTCAAGGAACTTTCATCAGAAACAAAAATATACTTTTTTAAATCAAAGTTTCGCGTTGTTTTCAAATCTGCAATTAGACTTTATCTATCAGTTCTTTATTTTTTTTATATTATTACTAATTACATATAAAAATAATTAAAAGAAAAAAAGAATTGTTTTCAATTTATTACTGATTTGATTTTTAATATGTTAAAAATGATCAATCCAAATTTTCATTTTTAACCTATTTTTTTGGTTCTTTAAAATTTATGAACAATTTTTGATAAAGATTTATGAAAGTTTATAGCAAAAAAAATTGAATATATTACCATAACTTTTAGCTCAATTACAAATTTAAAATTGACATCTAGGCCAGTCAACAAAGGAAAAATTTCTTAAAAAATTCCCAACCAAATTTTGTTTTATTAATAGTTGAATTAAAATATGTATAATGACATACTAATAGTCTTCATTGATTGAAATTGAGCTTTTTTTTNCACATCAGCTGTCCTCAAATCGCATTCAATAGCATCCCTCCATCTCTTTTTTGGTCTTCCTCTATCTCTTCTTCCTTCAACATTCATTTCTATAACTGTTCTTACAGCTTTCGATTCTTCTTTCCTCATACCATGACTAAACAATCTAAGTCTATTTTCTGTCATCTTATCCACGATTGACGCAACACCTATACTTCCTCTTATATGCTCGTTCCTTATCCTATCTTCTCTAGTCACTCCACTCATCCAACTAAGCATTCTCATCTCTGCTACACTTATTCTCTGCTCTACTTTCTTATCAACCGCCCAACACTATTAACCATACATCATAGCTGGCCTCACAATTTCATACTAAATTTAAAAACTATAATTAGTATTTATTCATATATTATATTTTAAAATCAAAGAACTACTAATCAGGATATAATTAAAGAAATAAGAGTTCATGTTGCTTTTAAAATATTTCACCAATTTCTCTAAATGAAACACTATCTACAGATTTGCATCGAAGCGTTTCTTATGATAGTGATTTTAATCACTGTCAGATATCATCTATACTTATCTCATCTATGCCACGTCTATACTGTGCCTCGACCCCACTGTGCTACCGTTTTTTTTTTCACTTAATGTTAATCAATATTTAAGTCATTTGATTCTAGTTACATATTTTATATTTATTACACAACCAGAAAATATATATTTAATTGTATTTTAAATAAATTAAAAATTTCATACATATTTCGTAATTTAAATAAAATGTTTCAGGACTTAACTTATATATAAATATAAATATTTCAAATATATATATAATACACAACCAGAAAATATATTTTAAGTAAGTCTTACAATTTCTGAAGTCAGTTCACAGGGATGAAAAGTAATAACATGTTATTATTAATTTCAGTGATATTTCAAAAAACATTCATTATTGAAAAGAATGCTTAAATAATATTTTGAAAGTATAAATTACCACATACTAATTATTTATTTATAATTTACGATATACAATATATTGCATAATAAAAATCATATGAGGTATCACATGGTATAGTCAGCAATTTTTATTCTTGTCAGAACCAGATATAAATCTGAACGAATAGGATAAGGGCTTTTTTTTGGGTGTATAGATCTCTGCACAATTTTTTTTTTTATCGCTTAATCAGCCCATTAAGAGCCATAGCGGTCTCCCTCAAAGGAGGAGGTTTCTTAACCATTTATACTCCGCATCGGGAGGTTAGTCGGTCGCCTGAGAGAGGAATGGCAACTCCAATTACCGAACTGATCTCTCATTCGGCAAATGAAGCCGCCCGTGACCGATCTTCGAACCCGAGACAGTGCGCGTCATACACTTACCGACTCGGCCACACCGCCCCTCACAAAATAATTATTATTAAAAAAAAGGTTTTTCGGTTTATAGGTTAATTAAGTTTGGGATCCCACATTTATAATTTGCTGAGAACTTCACGAATTATAGCTCCGAAACTAATCTTATTCTATTATAATATTTAAATTTATTCAATATACTAAAATTTAGTTTTTATAAAATAGGTCTATAAGTCAGAGTTTTAAAGCGTTTAAAATCTTCATTTTTGTTGGTTTACGTCGATTATTAACAATATTTTTTATATTAAAATCTGACGGGCATAATTATATACCTATATTATACTTGTTTGTTATCAACATTTTATCGTGATATAAAACTAATAACATACTTTCGATTAAATATACCCCTTACTTTTTACCACAATAAAGTATTGATAACTCAATTTTAAAATTGGTTAAAAATTTCAAGTTATTACTCCACAAATGATAAATTGTAAACAATGTTTGTATAATTAGACAAATGTATGTATTTATAAATTTGAAGAAAACGTATGATAGAGTACTGAGAGGGGTTTTAAAGTGAGCATTAATGAGAAAAAGAGCCCCGAAAAGGTACATTAATATAATGGAGGATATATATAATGGCATTTATACCAGGGTAATAAGTGTAGGAGGAGTAACAGAACGTTTTAGGGTAAGAGTAGTAGTGCTCCAAGTTCTGGTTTAAGCCTTTACTTTATTTATATAATAATGGATGAAATTACTAGAGAAATTTAAGGAGAGGTGCCGTGATGCATGTTGTTCGCTGACGATATAGTGTTAATAGGAGAAAATAGGGAAGAAATTAATCAAAGCCTAGAGGTGTGGAGATCAGCTCTCGAAGAAAAGGGTGTAAGAATAAGTAGGAATTAGACGGAGTATATAGAGTAAGAGTTTGATATAGAGAATATGAAATAGGTGAAATGAGAAGATCAGTGACAATAGACGAGGACGTTATAGGAGAGGTGGAAAGTTCTAAGTATATAGGATCAGTTATGCAAAAGAAAAGTGTTATTGACGAGGGTGTAAGACACAGAATCAAGTACGGGTAGTTGAAGTGGAAAGACGTCTGGTGTGTTATGCGTTAAAAGTATTCCAAAGAGGCTGAAAGGTAAATTCTATAAGACTTTAATGAGACCAGCTATAATGTATGGTTCAGAGGGTTAGACGGTTGATAAGAAAGTAGAGCAGCGAATGAGAGTAGCAGAGATGAGAGTGCTTAGAAGGATGAGTGGAGTGACTAGAGAAGATAGGATAAGGAACGAACATATAACAGAGCGTATAGGTGTGGCATCAATCGTGGATATGATGAGAGAAATTAGACTTGGATGGTTTGTTCATTTTATGAGGAGAGAGGAATAAGAACCTGTAAGAACAGTATTAAAAATGAATGTTGAAAAAAAGAACAGGTAGAGGAAGACCAAAAAAGAGATGGAGAGATGTAATTGAATGCCATATGAGGACGGCTGATGTGGGAGATTGCGCCAAGAGGAAGTTTAAGATAAGCGTGACCTCAAGTAGTTAGGATTAAGGCGAGGAAAAAAAAGAAGAAGATTATTAGATAAATTATAAGACGATAAACAAACGTAATATCTTGAAAGCACAGAATGATTAAAATATACCCTATAATCTAATTGTAAATTATGGTTATAATATTAATTTTAATTATAAAACAGTTTTTAAATATGCTTTTAATATATAAGAACGAGGATGTGAAACGAGTTCCTATTTTAGAAAATGAACGAGGAACGGGACGAGAAAAAAGGAAATTTCTCAACACAGCTACAGATAAGTTTCTAAACAAAAACATCGGTAACCGGAATTTTTCAGTGAACCTCTTGAGTGTGTCTCATTTATATTCGTAAATAATTGACTAAGAATAAAAAATAATTCAATATAAAATGTGTATACTCTATATAATTTAAATAAGTATTTTTATTGTACTTTAAACAGTAAAAATTATCTGAGTATTATTTTTTTATACTTGAGTTTCTTAGTTTAGAGAGCTACTTTATTGAAGTAAAAAAAAAAAAAACAAAGAAGGTCTTCAATTCTATAAATTATATTGCTTCATACTTCAGTGCCCCCGGGGTACGTACACTCAGTATCCCCTCCCACCTAAAATAATCTAGTTGAAGCACTAACAAAAGTTTGACCAGTTTTTTTTTTGTAGTAGTAACAATTGTAAGTAACTTATAAAAAGTTAAAAGAAACTTGTATGTTACATTTAATTTTTAATATGTATCAAAAATACTTATACATATACATATTTAATTGTACATTAATCCATCAAATACATTTTTTTTATTTTTAATGAATGAAATATTTTTATATATTTTGAAATATACATTCTGGTAAGCAATAAAAAATTATAACTGTTATTTACAAAAGACTTGTTTTAGAAAATTCAAAATAAATAAATAATATTATTTAATTTGTATTAATTTTATTGTAGAAACGACGAGTTTAAAGAAGAGGAGGGCAACTGCAAACTACGTTTTGATCTCCATATTTGCTGTCAATACGCCCAACACTTGGCCACACTTTTTGATCATAACCCTATTAATACACACAAAAAAAAATCAGATTTAAAGTAAACATAAAATTTATGTTATACAAATTAAGTTATCTTCATTTCTTTTAACAAGGTATTAATAATTTTAATATTTCATTTTTATGATAAGATCTCCCAAAATTAATTAAAAAAGTAATTCAAACTATTACCATAGGATACGCTGCTAATTCTCTTGGGTATGGTCTATTCCAATTATCGGTACAAATTTGTTTTAATGTATGAGGTGACATTTTTAAAACATTAATTTGTTTATCGGCCAAATTATCTTCTATTTGTTTTATTTCATTCCTTATACCTGTTGGTAGGGTTAAAAATATTATGAGCTTAGAAATTTTATATTAATCATTAATATGTAATAACTAAAATTTTTTAAATAATTCCTTTGAAATTTACTAACTAATAAGAGCATCACAGAATTTGTCCATTTCTGCTTTACCCTCTGATTCAGTTGGTTCAATCATCAATGTTCCAGTAACAGGCCAAGACATGGTAGGAGCGTGAAATCCTATTAAAATTGAATTAAAAAAAATCTTATAGTTGAATAAAAAATTCGCTACTTTTAGTTAATCTTGGCTTAATTTTGTGCGAAAGAACAATGCCAAAGATAGCCACAATAGAAAGATTTGTTGATGTAATTATTACTTTTTATCATAGATTGTCTAGTAAAACAATAAATGTTAATTGATAAAGTCTATTTAAAATAAACTTTAATAGTAACTATTTTCGTGTTAAAAACTTAATTTCCTATAAAAGTTTTAAACTTATAAATTTCAAAAAAAAAAAAAAAAAAAAAAAAAAAAAANAAAAAAAAAAAAAAAAAAAAAAAAAAAAAAAATAGTCATCATATTTTGGCATAGAGTATAGGCCTTTTTGTTTATTTCATTAAGTATTAGTTAATTCTCAACCCAATGAATTATTTTGAACAGATCCTTATCGTAATTAATGACAATATTTACCGTAATCCATAAGACGTTTAGCAATGTCTGTTGCATCTATATTGGCGGTGTTTTTAAAATCACGAGTATCAAGTATAAACTCGTGAGCAACAAGTCCATTCTTAGAACCCACAAAAAGAGTTTTATAATGACCGCTTAATTTCTTACTCATATAGTTGGCGTTAAGTATAGCTACTTGAGTAGCTTTTCTAAGCCCTTTTGATCCCATGAGCTGAAAAAAAAGTTATTATTTATATATTTAATGAAATATAAATTCTATTTACTTTAATATATGCCCATGAAATTGGTATTATAGCAGCAGAACCGAAAGGAGCAGCACTTACAGTACTCAAACTCGCCGTACTTCCAGTGGCAATGACAGGATGTGATGGTAAGTACGATGCTAAATGTGATTTACTAAAATATAAATTAGAGTGTTGGGATATATTTTTCAATATTAAGACAATTGTATTATAAATTATTTTTATCATTACACTGCTATTGGTCCCATTCCAGGACCACCACCACCATGTGGTATACAAAATGTTTTATGTAAATTCAAATGACATACATCTGCTCCAATATCTCCAGGTCGACAAAGTCCGACTTGTGCATTCATATTTGCTCCATCCATATAAACCTATATAATTATCAAATATGCTTGTCAAAATATATATTCTGGTACTAAAATTTTAATTATAATACTTGTCCTCCATTTTGATGAACAAGTTCACATATTTCTTTGACAGATTCTTCAAATACACCGTTTGTGGATGGGTATGTAATCATTATACAAGATAAAATATTCTTACACTTTTCAATCTATTTGGATTACAATTAAAAAAAAAAAAATAAAGACTCTTTATATACAGGGTGATTTTTAGGCTTTATAAAATACTAAATGATTAAAAATCATTAAATTAAATATAGATTTAAGTTTAATTTAATTTGATAAACCGTTGTAAATATCGAGTTTATTGTATATGTTAAAAACTAGTAACCTGTCTACAACTTATTTAGATCTATTCATTCCATCTATCAGTAAACATACTATATTAATTTCCGGTTAACTTTTGAAACTTATCTCTAAGAATCTTCCCTTAGGAATAATATTTTTTTTTTACAATAAAGTTCACATTGGTTTATAAAAATAAATTACATTTTAATCTATACATTTTTATGAAAATATCATTATTTACTAAAAAATGGTGGTACTACGCCTAAAAATCACCTTGTATGTAAAACTTTGTTAATGTAATGTACAATACAATTTGATGGTAAAAACAGTGGATTAAGCACACAAATTTAATACAAATCAGAAAATCAATCCATTTAGAATCCAAAAATTTCATTCTGGTTGAAATGTAAAATAAAAATCAGTATCTTAGAAAGTAAGAAAGCCCCCCTAATTTATAGACCATATCATTTATATTCATCTATTTACGCCACTAGTCTAGTGTCGGAGGAAGCGTCGGGGCAAGCAGGGCACCTGCCCTGGGCCTCGCGGTCATTGGGGCCCCACCGTTGGCTTAGTTTAATTTGTCTTTAGCCTATCTACTATTGTGTCGGTTGAGCAAAAAAAAAAAAAGTCTTTAAAAAATTTCAACCCAGAAATAGAGATAACTACTAGATATAAAATATAGTTTCATTGATGTAAATACGGGGCGAGGGGTATGATTAGATCATACCCTCTAGACAATAATAATTAATTGATAAAAGTTTTTTTATATATATCTCCCCACGACGAGTCCCTATTATGTAATTGATAAAATATTTTATATACTTTAGTTTTTAAATCTTTCAAGTCGATACAACCATCTTTTGAAGTTCCGACTGTCATAATGTCCATTCCTGCCATTTGGGCAGATGCTGGATTTGTCCCATGTGCTGATGTTGGAATTAAACATACTTTCCTTTCATTATCATTTCGTTGTTGATGATACTTCATAATTGCACAAAGACCAGCAAATTCCCCTTGAGCACCGCTAACACAACACATCACGATTAAATATGAGAAAATAAAATAAAATATATCGACAGTTTCATTAAGTTTGGGAGTTAAATAAATAATACCTATTCGGTTGAAATGACACTTTATCAAAACCAGTGAGCTGACAAAGATAATATTCTAATTCTTGGAGAATTTGTTGATACCCTAATGCTTGTTCTGGTGGAACAAAAGGATGAATATTAACGAATCCGGGCTCTGACAGTGGTAGTAATTGAACTGTTGCATTAAGTTTCATTGTGCAGGATCCCTATAACAATTAACGATTTGGAATAATGAATGATAAACTTTTTTCATCTTTAATATCAATATAAATTAATATAAATATTTCCCCAAATTCAAAAGATTGTTAATACTATATAAATGTAAATTTATAAATATCAATTATTTGTTGAACAGTATATTTAAAATACAAAACAATAAAAATTCAATGGAAAATCTACTAGGCATACCTATGTATTTAGTTATTTTATCTACATCGTATATAAAATATAGTTTTATTTTTACATATTATTGTCTATTAATTATAGGTACGATCATATAGTCAAAAAAAAAAAAAAAATGATCAGCTTTACATCCTTCTACTTCCCAAACTTAACATATTACAGAAGGTGGTGACTCTCTTTCACATGTTAAAGAGTCAAAGATGGTTGCCTAGGTCAATAAATGACGAAACGGATATATTATGGTCAGGTTGCACCAGAGACTAGACATCATCAATGAGAAAATCACAAGAAAAATCTCGTTGGTATCTTGTGGATCGAACCTAGGACCCCGAAACATACGATTCTACCCATTAGGCCAGACCGACCCCTAGGTACAATCATACGGTACGTAATAAAATAGACGAAAAAAAACACTAACCAAAGGAATCATAGAGTGGACTAATGAAATATCCTTATTTTCTAATTGTTTCATATATCTAACAATTTTTGTCTCTGACTGATGACTATTGAATACTGGATGTTGTAAATACTGTGAAGTTCTACTAAATGGTGAATTGCTTATAATACATTTTTGCGGTTCATCGTGTGATATTATCTTTGAAAAATAAAATTAAGTTAAAGTTACTATAAAAAATTTATGAAAAAAAATATTTTACTTGATTAATACTAGTTTTATATCCAAAAACCCAAAGCAACTCTTCGATATTTTCAGTAGTTGTAGTTTCATCAAGAGATATTCCTATCTGTACAGCAAAATAATACTAATATTGCATTTCATAATAATTCATTTATGTGTCGTTGTACTTACAGACTGGTCACCAAACCATCTTAGATTAATCATTTTTTCGTTACATTTGTTTAAAATATCTTTTTGAGATAACTTGCTTCTGACTTGAATTGTATCAAAAATATTATTATTACTTATTTTACAACCTATTTCACTTAATGCAGTCTTCAGTAATAAAGTACTTCCATGTACTCGTTCAGCAATATTTTTTAAACCATTAGGTCCATGGTACACAGCGTACATAGCAGATAAATTTGCTAGTAACGCTTGTGCTGTACAAATATTACTAGTAGCTCTTTCACGACGTATATGTTGTTCACGAGTCTGAAGGGTCAATCTATAAGCTTGATTTCCATCTGCATCTCTAAAAAAATTTTATTCAGAAAATATATTTATATTTTTCTTATTTTACAAAAAATAAAGGCATTATTCTTTGCGTTTTTGGGTTATTACTATACAGCACGATCCTTTAATTATGTCTCGCTCAATATTATCAAAAGTATAGAATAAAATATAATTTTTTCTTTTTAGAAATTATTAGTATCCTACTTACTTAAATTAACACCAAAATAAAGTAGTCCAATCCCTCTCATTACCTCTTTAGATGGAAACATTTATGTTCGTTTTGCTTACAAATAAGAAATGATCTATTTAAAAAAATGGTCGATCGATAACAACTTTTGAAGCAGTATTTTGGAAGATATTATACTTAAATAAAAATACTAGAGGTGAAGTGAGGAACTATTTTATTTATTTTTAGGCATTTATGAACGACATTATTTCTCTTATCTTTGTATAATAATAATAATAATAACTTTTAAAATACTGGTTCAAAAGTTGCTATCGACCTATCATTTTCTTTGTATAAGTAAGTTAAACATGGATGTTTACATTTAAAAAATTAAAGATATTACAATTTTAAGAGGTAAGAAAACAGCTATATTTTTTCAGTTAATTCAAGTGTGTAATACTAATAACATCTGGAAATAAAAAATTATTTGTATAAAAATATTATGTAATTTATAGTTAGCAGATTATCCTGTGTTATATCTATGATTAAAATCGATCTGACGTAACCATCATTTGCTTTATATGTTTGAAAAAAATGTATTTTTGTATACATATAAAAATATGCAAAAGTCTTTATAATTAAAATTCTATGAAATCAGTTTATAAACAATTTTCTAGTGAGAGGGACATAAAAGGATCGGGATATAAAAGTCTTATACTGCTCTATATCAAGGTCTTCTTGTTTCGCTCGTCAATTTATCTTTTATTACTTCATAAAAAATTATTATTGACCATTTTTCAACATTACTTAAAAAAAAAAAAAATTAATAAAATTCCTTTTTAAAAATAAACCCATTGATCCCATATATAATTTATTCACTATTAATTTATTGTTTCTTTCTATTTGGTATTATAATCATGTGATGTATATTTTATGTTAGTATATAAAAATATTATTGTAATTAATTACTTAGTTAATTTATATTTTGTTGCCTTAATTACTACATGTCTAAAAAAATTAACAGAATTATTATTGGCTTCTTTAATACATAATTATTAGATATTTTAAGTCTGCAACTGTTTTATTAGATCGAATTGAGGTGTATGTTGGACTTCTTGTTAAAATGAATCAGTCAAGTTATTTACCTTGTAACGCCAACCATTCTACCAGGTATAAGCCTCATCAAATTTTTATTGCAAGAAATAAATGCAGCATGTGGTCCACCATAGCTTAAAGGCGTCCCAAACCTTTGACTAGATCCAACCGCAATATCAACGCCAAATTCGCCTGGAGGTTTAATTAAAGTAAGTGAAAGAAGATCTGTAGCGCAAATTACTAGAGCCTAAAGAAAATGTTAAAATAAAATCGCATGAAAATTAAACGCACGAATGTTTATACATACGTACCCCGTCTTTGTGTGCATTTTGCACAACTTCCTCATAATCTAATAAAAATCCATAAGTGTCAGGATATTGCAATAAAATACCACTATATTGTTTGAAATTTTTAATACGGTTCGGGTCATCAATATTAACTTCAATACCAAGTGCATAAGCTCTTGTTCGAATTACAGCTATCGTTTGTGGGTGAACGTTGTTTGCTACAAACCATTGTTTACGTTTATTGTGTCGATATGTTATTGCTAAAGCTTCCGCAGCAGCTGTTGCTTCGTCCAAAAGAGATGCATTAGCAACATCCATAGAAGTGAGATCTGTAATCATAGTTTGGAAATTTAACAAACCTTCCAGCCGCCCTTGACCAATTTCTTCTTGGTATGGAGTGTAAGGAGTTAACCTAGTGCAAATACATATTTCATAAATAACTACAAAATTGAAAATTAATTTTACATTGTATACAGTTCAAAATTACCATCCTGGATTTTCTAGCATATTTCTTTTGATCACATGAGGTATGTGACAGTTGTAATACCCCATCCCTATATAGCTTTTCCATGTTTGATTTTTATTGGCTATCGTTTTAATTAATTCTGCTAAAGTTTGTTCATCTAGATATAACATAAATTTACATAAGATTAATTGACTAACAAATTGTCAGTAAAAAAGAAAAATAATCTAAGACAAACCATAAATAGAATGAAAAATTGTCAAAATTTTTACTCAATATTAATTTAAATTTTACTATGATTGGTTTTTTTTTGTGTCTGATGCCACTATTTCTCAGCTCCCACTGGACCGATTTCTTTCAACGATACGCTAAAAGATCACAAATCGTATCTAGTTGAAAACATTGCCCTTAAAAATTGAAAAAATTTCCTCCGTTCCCCGTAAATGGAGATATCTCCAAAAAAATTGCAATTTTAAAAATCAGTAATTTTCAATATTTTTTTCTTTAAGCAACCATAACATTTCAAAATTTAACAAATGAAAATAATTTTTTTTTTTTAATAGAAACCTTAGATATTTTACTTTTATTTGATATAATTTTTTTGACAATCTGACTTTTTACCTATTCACGAGGGGGGATTCAAAATAGCAACTTTTTTACAAAAACCAACTTTTTCCACTTAACAATTAAAAATGTTCGCGAAATAATGTGTCTTTTAAATATATGTTAAATTAAAGCATATGTTGCGTACTATACATTGAAAAAAAAATTTGTCCCGATGATTTATCTTCTACACGCAAATAGCTGCCGTAGTTAAAACCTGCTATTTTTGTGTGAAAATTTTGAATTTTATATTTTATATTTTCAATTTTAAATTGCTATAACTTTACGAAAAATGTATATATGAATACAATTTTTTTTCCTAAACACATTATATATACTTCTTTCATTTGACATACTTTTTATTAAAATTGGACAATTTCCCCATATATAGGGAGCGTTCAAAACTTGAAATATTGTATAAAAAATAGAACTTTTACAACTTAACTTTTGAAAGTGTTCCGGAAATACTACGTCCTTTAAACATATATCAAATTAAAGCTTATTTTATGTACTATAAAATGAAAAAAAACTTTTCTGACGACTTATCTTCTATGTGGAAATGGCCGTCGAAATTGAACAAAAAATGTAATATTTGTGTAAAAAATCACCTACTATCGAGATGTTATTTTTGTATTTAAAACTGCCATAACTTATTGAATAATAGACAAGTCAAAATTATTTTTTTTTATATTGAAACCTTAAATAGTTCCCCTTTTTTCATTTAATATAATTTTTTTGAAAATCTAACACATAACCTGCTCACAGGGGGGGATTTAAAATAGCAACTATTTTACAATTATCAACTTTTTCAACTTAACTTTGAAAATGTTCTGGAAATATTGCGTTCTTTAAACATATATCAAATTAAAGCTTATGTTATGTACTATATATTAGTTGTTTTAATAGATATTTAATCATATATTATACTTCTAAATAAAAAAACTACTAATCAATAATAATAAAGGAAATAGGAATTGATTTTGCTCTATATATAATCCACCAATTTCTTAAAATTCAACACTGTCTACAGATTTGCACTGAAGCGTTTCTTATGATAGTGATTTTAATCACTGTCAGATATCATCTATACTTGTCCCAACTATGTCACGTCCTAATTTTTAAATTGACAATATTGTTTCTTTTTAATCTCTATTACTTTTAATTTTAAATTTCAATAAATTTTCTCAAAAGGTGTGACAATGTAAATAATGTTCTTCTATTTGTAAATTATTTAAATAATTATGAAATGTAACATATTAAAAAGGAGGAAATATATTTCAAATTTTTTTTGTTAATCACGTGATCAATGAAGAAAGAGATTATAAATTAATTTTACATCAATTTTCCCCCTAGTTGAAAAAAACGTCATTATTCAGATTCGAGCAGTATAATATTTTAAGAAATATCTAAATAATCTATATAAATGTACTATTTATAAATTTTGAATATTTTTTATGACATCAGTACAGCTGATAAGCTATCGAAACACAATGTCTACGTATTTAGTGATATACATCTGTAGTTGCGTAGGTAACATTTTCACGTGACTATTTTGCAAAAAAAAGGTATACTAATTTAATGTTAATCTTATCTTTTTATTAATATTTAGTTGTTATCCAAATATTTAAAAACTATTTAATACCATGACCTTATGTTATCAAGTATTTAATAACCATACCAATAACTGATGATTTCAAAGGAGGCGATTTTTCGAGATAAACACTATCTGGGATCACGGCCTTACTGAGATCTTCTATAGTCTGAAAAATGTACATAATTGTAGTTTACTATTTGATTTCATATAAATTAAGTTTTATTAATTAAGTTTTTTTTATCTATAGAAAATAAATAAGCTTAAATTTAAAGAATAGTTAAGATGGTTAAACTTTTTTTTAAAAATGATAATTAAATGTTCTAAGTATGATGGTCGAGGAAAAACATTTTCTTATAAAACTTTCTAACGCATGAACAAAGAAGAATAATTTTGATAAGAAGCAAACAACATTAACAAAATCTCAAAACTAACTCTAAGAATATGGCTTCTCAAAATCAAACTATATTTTATTGATTTAGTAAATCAAAGATAATGTGCAATAACTGAAACTGGGTAGTAACTGTAATAAGCTGATCTTTCAATAATTAAATAATTTTGCTATTCCGCATTATATTGGTGTCAGTGATATAATTTAAAATTGGTATTTAAGTGTTGAAAACACAAAGACAGTTAAGAAGGATGTGTGGAAACAATTTTTTTTCATTTACCAAGGAAAAACTTATTTTGTTATTCTCAACAAATAAAAATTAAAATTAGGACTTTGATGTAGTTTAATACATTTTTTTTTATGATTTAAGAGAATAGGGTTGAAAAGCTTTTTATTATAATAATAAACTTAATTTAAAAGTAATTTGTATCTAGGGCCAGATTAAGACCTATACGAGTTTCGGGGCATCTGATAGAGATATAATTAAAAATGACATTGATTATATTATTCGTTAGAAAAATTACTTAATATAATTTTTATTTCACGCCATAAGCCCAAATAAGGATTGGGTTAGAAAAGGGTTAGCCAACCAACTATCAGTTGAGAATAAGTTTATTACAAATTATTTTTAGAAATTATATATATTCTTATATTAAAGTACTTTTCAGGGTGAGTAAAAATACCATTACTACCACTAAACTTTATTTTATTCGGTCTACAGTCCACACCAAGGGGATGTTTCTTCGTCTAAATTTATTTTATATTCACAAAATTAAATAACTAAAAGACGATTTTTAAAATATATTTTTTTGATAATTCACTTTTAAATGAGTTTACTCATTAGAAACTGTTTTTTGTGAAATTATAAAATAATACTTATCCAATAATTTGCCCCAGTTATAACAAAAATTAATTTATTTTTGTTGCCTAGTTTTAATGTTACAATTTTATACAATTTCAGTGTCTGTATCTCCTGAACATTTTTTTGAGTAGATGTATCTGGTTATTGTTCTAGTGTCTTCAAATGTCCTACAGTTTAGATATTTTATAGAATAATATTTGATATACCTTTACAAATTAATCTATATTACAAATATTTTAAAACAAGAAATGTATATGTATATTTTTCATTAGTTTAACTATCTAAATATAGTCTTTTTATATAAACTAGTAGACAAAATCTATAAACTTTAAGTTAAAAATCATTTTCTATTTATCGTTTTTGATAACGATAATTTAATATCCATAAAATCTTATCGCCCAAGTGAAATTTAGAGTTATAGATACCTAACAAAAATTGATTACTTGTAGTGTAGAAACATTATTTAACAATTGAATAATTTAAACAAACCTTTTTATTTAAAAATTCTTAAAGTTTGTCTAATAAAAAAATATTTATAGTGATATTAAGAAATTATACGTGTTTTTGCTGTTTTACTTTTAACCAATTTTTATGTACTTTAAAGTAAAATTAAATGAATTTATTATAATATATTTGTCGGCTGGGTAATTATTTACCTGATATCCGAGTTCTTTTAACATATCATCTTGTTCTGCATCGTTTGGACCGATATGCCTACAGGCAAAAGATTCGGGTCTAAATACAATTTCCGAAACATTGGAAGAGTAAAAACGCTGCGTTTTGCGCAAGCAATTCAAACGGCGATACATGACTAAATGATCATTTAATCATGAATACTTCAAATTATTATCAATAATAAATGAATCGTGATGAATAAACGTGAGACAACAATAGTAGCTGATCATTGATCACTTTCAATTCCGTAGTAAACGGTAAGAGATATTAACTTAGATTATAGAATTATTTATAAATAATAAGTTTATTATTGGAAAAATATATTGTTAATAAACTAAATAGATTATATTTAAAAATTTAGGTAGTAATCATTTACAGTAATATGTATAGTAAATAATATTTATTATTTTATTGATGTATAAAAAAAATTTTAATGATAAATACTATCTGCGCATTATAAATTGGAAATATTGTATACTTAAATAAAACTTAATATTTATTTCGTTACAATATTGATTTATTCTTTAGATAATAACACTAAGAATTCATAAATATGACAACTATCCAAAAATTTAATTAAATGTAAAAAAAATTTATTGATTGAACTAAAAAAAAAAATTCATTTTACTCTTGTATAATGGTTAATAGAAAATAGTAATGTTATTTAGGGGGTTAATAATCTCCTAATATCGACAGCTCAAATGTTGCGTTTCCGATATATAGTTTTTAATCTTTGAAAATCATTTATCTTTTTCCTTGATACTTTTTTTAAATATGTAAAATTTAGTAAAAATGGTTTACAATATGTTTGTTAGTAGAATAAAAATTGGACCTCCATAAAAAATATTAAGTAATAAAATTTGCGTTCAGAAGATAAAAACGCTTTGTTTTAATTTATTTCATATAATATTATTAATAGAATACTTTATAACTGTGTAGTTATTACTTGTAGAAGATGTCTTATAATAAAAATTTTTTTATTTGAATTACAACTTTTTTGAAATTAACTTAAGAGGTTTTGTCTGTAATCTTACAATTTTATTGTAGTTATTTTATTCATATATATATATATTATTCATAATCTTATAATTTTTTCATTTATTCTCGTGTATGAGCTCATTAATTTAAATTCTATGGAAAAAAAAGTTTCATAAGTTTAAATATATATATCAATTTGAATTTAATGATTTTAATGGCTTAATTTCGATTCTGTTCATTTATTTTTAATAATTCCAATATTATTTTTTACTGTTTTTAGAGTTAATTTTATTTAGTCGGGTTATTTTTGAAAAGCTGATAATTGAGTTAAGGTTTTTGTTTCTAGTATATTCCTAATACATTTATGTAAGCATTTAGTGAACAATTCTATCCTAAAATAACATATTTTCTTAATTAAATCATGGTTTGTTTACATCTAGATTATGACATCAAATATTTAGAAAAAAAGAACAAGTATGCTGTTCAAAAACTATGATTGATTCAGTTATTGTGATAACTGCGTCGTTCATATTGTTTTCGAATAAAAATTAAATAAATTTGTATTGGTTAATTTTATCATTCTTATTATTAACAAAAACAAATTGATAAAACATCTTCATTTCATTTAATCATAATTGTATTGTTAAAATACATAAATCGACTAAGATGAAAAAATAATTTTTCATTATAACATTTAGTTTAGCGAAATAATAATAATAATAATAGAGGTGTGGAAATAATTGACCAATAAGGAAATAAACTTTAAGTCGGTTTTAATAATTAATTGTTATTTATAAAGTTTTATTGAAATTGTAACATTTGTGTGTGTTACAATAGCAAAACGCTAGACTTAACCTAAGAACAAAAATATAACACTTAAGTTTTTTGTTTCATGTGAACACTTTTAAACGTAGTGTATTATAGTTAACAATAAAAATAATGAAAATTTATTTTTAGTACCTATACCATATTTATTGTAGAAACATAAAATTGTTCTCAATGATTTACTCTTAATAAGATTGTTATTATGCTTTTGCGGATAACATTCTTTGTATGTTATTATAACTAAACAAATTGATACCTTAAATTTGCAGTTACTTCTTCTTTATCAAGACTTAATTTATTACTTAACATTTTTTAATGTTTCATTGGTCATTTATGAAATACACAAAAAGATTTTACATATAATTTCAAACCATATTTGTATATAACTCAAAAACAATTATTTACACATTTTTTACAAAGTGTATATAACAAAATGATAGAAGGCTTGGCCTCAATGTTTAAAATTTAGTCTCTCAAAAAATGTTACTTCCTTATGTCTAAGTGGAATCGTTTTTCGATGATTTTGTCATTTTATTGCTGATTATAATTAGAAATTTTTCAATATATGTAGTTGCTATAAGAAATATTCAATTAGTAAAAATAATTTTTTTACTTCTCAGTTCTTTTAATATCGAGATGGAGTCGTAAATTGTTGTGTATGACTCATGGGATTTCGTAAGAGGGGACAAAATAGTAAAATTGCCCCCTTGACTGTTTGCTTGTAAATGTTCATAATTGTTATGTATTATACATTTGTTTTTAATTAAAAGGCTTAATTCTTAACATTTTGAATTAGGGTAATGAGATATGTCCATTTACAAAAATTGAAATAAATAAAAACAGCAAAGTGAGGACGCTGCATAGTTAGGACAAATTACAGTACGATCTTGATCCGACACATATGGGACCGGACAAGTGCCGGATTATCAAAAATTCCTGATTATCAGGATAGTTAGTAAAAAAAAGTTATTTGTATGTATTCATATTAATTTTATATAATTAACAATATGTACATATTTGTATGAATAGTAATCATTAATTTTTTTTTGTTTCTTCGCCTTGTTATATACTTTATTTAAAGCCATTTCTTCAATTCTTTTTTAAGTCATTATGTCGCAGCTAGGGACATTGTTTTCTTTAGCCCATTTTGTGCACTTAATGCCTCATTGTTGGTGACAGTTTGCTTGGTCGTCACTTCCTGGTCACCGTCATCGTTCCCATCCGTCAAAATATTCCTAATTATTTTATCATAAGTGAGTGATAGAATTCCCTCGTCTGCCTCGTATAATCATTTTGTACGTCGTCGTCGGCAAGAGTTAAGTCACCTCCGCATTTTTTTGATAACTCATCTAAAAATGTACGAAGTTAACGGTTGAGTTGAGTTCTCGGGGTCAACATTGTACACCTCGTCCGAAATAAAGGCAGGGGGTTGGGTAAACATTTTTTCATGAACACTGGATAGTCTCGCTCTTGACTTTATTCCAGCTGTGGGCTAGATTATAAACAACGTTTTAAATGGTGGTTTTTTTTAAAAATTCAATGATTCCGTCGGACTGCTTTATGACGTCGCTCAATAGAGTTTTTTTGTAGTTGATTTTTATTTGTCGAATGACATTTTGTTCCATGGGCTGTAAAAGCGGTGTTGTGTTATGAGGTATGAATAGGATCTGAATCAGTTTATTTTCGGAACGTAGATCTTGTTCTTTTGGGGGACCAGGAGTACAGAGCTTCCGCTGACATGTTGTGTTCTTGAGAAAATTTTTTAACAGCTAGAACCAATCATGAAAACATCTCGGGTAACCCATCCTTTTGCTTGGTTTTTGTAGGTGACTAATAAATGAGTCAGGTTTTTAAATGCTCTAGGACGCTTAACTTTTCCTATCACCAATAATTTAGGCTTGTGTGTGCCGTTAGCATTGGCATAAGGCATAAATGTTATTAGGTCTTTAGACATTTTTCTTCCGGGTGCATTTTCTTCAGTTCTATGTACAAACGTCCTTTCCGGCAGCATCCTCTAGAAAAAGCCACTTACCATATTATTATAAACTTGCTGAGGTAAAAGTCTCATATCTTAAATTTTTAATTCCAATTTTGTTTGGAAAAGGTCCATCGCCAAAACATCACTAGAAAGCTTTTCTCCTGTTATGGACAAAAATCGAATCCCATATCGATGTTTGAAATTGTCGAGCCAGTCGTCACTGGCTCGAAAATAATTTTTTTTGTTATTTTTTCATAAACAAATTTCACTTTTGCAAAAAGGGCACGCTTTTGTAAAAAACCATGAAAACAAATGCATTTTCCATTTCAGGAAACTCAACTTTTTTTAGGGTTTTCTTATTTTTTAATTCTCCTTCCACTGTTTTGACGAAATGAAGAATTTTTTTTGGTTGACTTTGATGTTATAAATTGTCGATCTTCCGTCGCCATATTTTCTAACAAGGCTGCTTGCCTTTGAATCGCCTTTTTTTAATTTTTCGATAATTTCTTTTTTTTGCATAAGTTTAGCGTAATATGTTTTCGTTTGGACATTTTTAATTGAAAAAAGGAAACAAAATGTGTAGAAAGACTTCATTAAGATTCGACTGGATAAATGAAGGGAAAAAAAACATTACACAACAAAAGGAGTACGCAGTAGAGTGCAAGCATGTACAAGTATTTTCGTGATTGTTTACTTTCAAACTTCCAAAAACTTGCGCTGTAGAACGAATTTTTAAAAATTTTTAACGAAAATAATGGAGCGCCGTATTACTGAAATGCCGGACTATCAAGATCGTACTGTATATGATAACTGGTAGTAATTAAAATCGCTATCGTAAAAAACGCTTCGATGTAAATCTGTAAACATTGTTTAATTTTTAGAAGAAATTGTTGTATTATTCTAAAGGTAACATCAATTCTTATTTATTTAATTATATACTAATTGCCAGTTTTATGATACAGTATAGCAAATCATTTATGTCATAAATTGGCATATCATTTAGATGCATGACTGTATTTAATATATTGGTGAGAGATGGCTAAATGTTTTTGGCATCCTCAATTTTTATTTTATTACCATAAATAATAATGAAGAACATAAAATATCGTACAAATTATAATTATAAATATTATATAAAAAAATTATATTTGATCGATCATATGTTGAATATTATGTAAGTTTTGCTCTTTAATATTAAGATTTTCTCCTAAGAATTTTTGGGAGCTTTGCCCCTCTGAATCACCCTATAAATATCATGCTTTTTAATTGTTTATTGAATATTACGGAGAAATTATAAAAAACCCAGCACAGTGGGGTCGCGGCATAGTGGGGATGTTGCATAGTTGGGTCCAGTATAGATTTAATCTGACAGTGATTAAAATCACTATCATAAGAAACGCTTCGATGCAAATCAGTAGATAGTGTTTAATTCTAAGAAATTGGTGGATAATTACAAAAGCTACATTATCTGCTAGTTTCTTATTAATACCCTGATTAAGATAAAGTATGTCGAATGAAAAAGGGATTATTAAAAAATATTATTTCTCATAAAAAAATTGTGTTGATTCGTACACTTTTCAATGAGTTATAGCATTATAAAGTTAAAAATGTAACCAACCCAACCCAACATCAACTCCTATTTCCTTAATTATATCCAGATTAGTAATTATTTTAATTATATATTATATAATTTTTATAATTAATTATTTTCAAATTATTATTGATTTTTAATATGTTAAAAGTAATCATTTTGAACCTACTTCTTTTTGTTCTTTAAAGTGAAAGTTTTAATAAAAAAAAAATGAATTTATTACCATAACTTTTAACTCAACTTGCAAGTTTGAAATAAATATTATTAAATAGAAAAAAATNTATATAATAGAAATATAAATCTCTATGGTCCAAAATTTTAGGAAGCAATTTTAATACATTATATATGTATTTATTTTCCCCAATAGGTACATTATACATTTTTATTAATATCAATGGTGTAATCATAAATCATAAAAAAAATGTACTGATTTATTCATTATTTCCAAAAAGGATGACATTTTTAATATTAAAATTTTATTGGAGAGTTTACCATTTATGGGAAACAAAGTCATTTTTTCCAATATTTTAGTGTAATGTCTTCAACTGGATAAAATTTGTAATCTTTTGGTGTTGAAAATAATCAGCTAGTGAGAGCTGAGAAAAAAAAGCGACAAACACACAAAAAAAGTAAATAAGTAAATACATCACAGCAAAGTTAATATCTTTTCAATCTTGAAAAAAATGTTTTGTTAATATTATTTAAGATAAAATTACTTAAGATATGATTAATATAAAATATTTCTATATATTTAAGAACACCAAGTTAAAAAAACCCCAGTACAGGGGGGTCGCGTCACAGTGGTGACGTGGCATAGTTGGATCAAGTATAATGATATCTGACAGTGATTAAAATCACTATAAAAAAAAACGCTTCGATGCAAATCTTTACATAGTGTTTAATTTTAAAAAATTAGTGGATTATTCCAAAAGCTACATGATCTGCTAGTTTCTTATTAATATCCTGATTAAAATAAAGTATGTCGAATGAAAAAGGGATTATTAAAAAATATTATTTCTCATAAAAAAACTATGTTAACCCATCAACGCCGAGAATTATTTTTTTTCAAACTTTCTATTTTTTTTACTAAAAACAGATTAATATACAACACAAAAATAAAAAAAAATTATTTTGACACAAATTATGTCAAAACAAAGTAAAAACAATGTATTATCGGTGTGCGTGATAGCCGATAAGTAGTTCCATTCGGGTATTCTAAGAACGCCCGATAAAAATAGCAATACGAATGTCACCATATGGGGACGCCAGGCGTTGATGGGTTAATCCAAACACTTTTCAATATGTCATAACATTATAAATTTAAAAATGTAAAATACAAAATCGAAAATTTTCACACAAAAATAGCATTCGGTAGCCATTTTCAACGTGAAGATAAAATAAAGTCCGAAATTTTTTTTACCATAATAAAGTATATTACATTAGCTTTAATTTAAGATATATATAAAAGTGTCAGATTTTCCGGAACGCTTTCAAAAGTTAAGTTGAAAAAGTTCTACTTTCTACATGCATTTTTTAGATTTAAACCCCCCTTGTATATAGAGAAATAGTCCGATTTAAAAAAACAATATGTCGAATAAAAGATGTATATAAATACTACTTCTCATGAAAAAATTGTATTGATCCATACATTTTTCAAAAAGTTATAGCATAATAAATTTAAAAATGTAAAATACAAAATCAAAAATTTTCACACAAAAATAGCATTCGGTAGTCATTTTCAACATGAAGATAAAATAAAGTCCGAAATTTTTTTTCCATACTAAAGTATATTACATTAGTTTTAATTCAAGATATATATAAAAGTGTCAGACTTTCCGGAACACTTTCAAAAGTCAAGTTGAAAAAATTAATTTTTTGTGAAAAAGTTGTCATTTTGAATCCCCCCTGTGGGCAGGTAAAGGGTCAGATATAAAAAAAAAATATATCAAATGAAAGGTAATCATGCATCTATATAAAAAAAAATTATATTGACTTGGTTATTTTTAAAAAAGTTATGGCAATTTTAAGTAAAAAAAATTTTAAAAAAAACGGTAGCACAGTGGGGTCGAGGCATAGATGGGACAAGTATAAATGATATCTGACAGTGATTAAAATCACTATCATAAGAAACGCTTCGATGCAAATCTGTAGATAGTGTTTCCTTTAGAGAAATTGGTGAAATATTTTAAAAGCAACATGAACTCTTATTTCTTTAATTATATCCTGATTAGCAGTTCTTTGATTTTAAAATATAATATATGAATAAATACTAATTATAGTTTTTAAATTTAGTATGAAATTGTGNTCTTATGCGATAAAAGAATTCCAATGAGGCTAAAAGGTAAATTCTACAACAATGTAGTGAGACCAGCTATGATGTATGGTTCAGAGTGTTGGGCGGTTGATAAGAAAGTAGAGCAGAGAATGAGTGTAGTCGAGATGAAAATGCTTAGTTGGATGAGTGGAGTAACTAAAAAAGATAGAATAAAGAATGAGCATATAAGATGGAGTATAAGTGTAGCGTGGATAAGATGAGAGAAAATAGACTTAGATGATTTAGTCATGTTATGAGGAGAGAAGAATCGGAAGCTGTAAAAATAGTTATAGAAATGAATGTTGAAGAAAGAAGAGGTAGAGGAATACCAAAAAAGAGATTGAGGGATGTTATTGAATGCGACATGAGGACAGCTGATGTGAGCGTGGATGTGGAGATTGTGTCAAGTGGAAGTTAAGGATGAGGGTGGCCGACCCCAAGTAGA